CCATCCAGGAGTGAACCCTCCTTTTGGACCCCTATCATATGGCACGGCTCTCCTTGTGGCCATGGAGAGCTCCTCAGGAATAAATAGGCAGAGACCCTTGGTCCCAGAGGTCTGCCCTGGTCTGCTGGCCACTTGTCACCCCCTCACCCACAACATACTCACGTGTTGCAGTATCGAAACACGCCCTTGATATCCACTTCCCGGATGGCTGCGTGCACTAAGGGGACAGAGGCCATCTCGGAACCCAGTCCCACAAGGACCAGGGTCCCACCAGAACAAGTGGCCTAAAGAGGAAGGAAGAACAAGAAAACGTGGGAAATAAGAAAATGCAGACTTCCCGCTCACAACAACACCGCCGTCACACAAATATCTTCTGATTGCATGAGGCGAGTATCCAAAAATCCCGGGGAATGATTCTTCCTATAACGCTGAACTCTTCACCATGGTGGCCAAACTCAACAGAGCAGCCGAGTGAACATCAGCTTTAAAGATCCTGAAATAATATACTTCACCACCGGTGGACCAGGCAACATGGGAGCATCCTTCACTGTCTACAACATCCCATGAAATAGCCAAGGTTCTCCAGACCTCTGGGAGACAATCTCCCCTACAAACAAGATTGATCTTCAGCAATCCCCGCGCATCTTTGAAAGCTGTGCCACTTCATACCAGATGTTGGCTTCAGCCACTCCCTCGTCCCAGCAACTGTTCTACCTCCAGAGTGCCCACCCCACAAGACAGGACTTTTGTCAAACCTCTAAGGAACCACCCTCTTGGTGAGAAAACTACTAAGCACTACACAAATAGGCGGGGTGGTTGGGGGGGGGCTATTAGAATTCTGTGGTTTAAAAACTTCCTTATACGTGCAAGCTCGCATTTAAAATTATCTTTGTTCTAGAGACTTTCATCCCCATAGTATTGGTCATAACGGAGTCTGTCCTCTTTGAACATCTATCTGCCTTATCAGTTCTCTCCTGCAATGGGCCAGAGACTGGGATTTCTCTTGACACTCCCCACGTAACTCCTGAGTGTTGTACCTGCCCCAGAGAACTCTGGGGATCACTGTGCTCGATGTGAGACAGAAAAATCGACAATTCATTCCAGCTCCTCTCTCTGAGGGGAAGGATACACCATGGAGAGAGGCCTGCGGCACAGGGGTGACTCTGGCATTTGCTTTTTTGAGCCGTGGGACCCTGGATGGTGCCCTGTCAGCCAGCTCCCTCCCATGCATGAACAAGATGATGTCTCCCCAGCGGGGGGTACCAATCTCAGTGCTTGGCAGGAGGACAGGCTCACTGTTTGGCACGTTTTCTGTTTTTTTTATCGAAGCACAGAATCACTTAAAAACAGCCTGTGACAGATGAACTCAGCAAGAGAGAGGGAATCTCACAACTGGAAAATGCTGCTGTCTCCACTGGAAAAGTAGGGGAGAGAGGTCAAAGTTGTGAGTGAGCCACAGAAAACTGAGAACTTTCTAGGAAAACTGTTTTCCCACCAGCATTTTCTCTTCACCTGGTGAGAAGGAGGAACACGCTCAAATTGGCGGTCCCAAGCTATCAGGAGGCCAGCAGTTTGCTGACCACAGACAAGTGCTTGGACTACATGATCACTGTTCTGAGGGTGTGACCTCTGCACCGAGGAGATGACCTCAATTCTACCCTAAGCATTTGCCACTTGGCCTCACGAACATTATCTAGTCATGATAATGACTAGTCATGATCTGGCAGGAAAGTAACTCTCAGGTATGTCCTTACAAGGTGCTTCCACCTAACCTGCCTGTTGAGGGTGGCCTGTGGCATTCTACAGCATCTGTCATGCATGATGGCTCCCCTCCCCATTCAGGAAAGGCACAGGCCTCAGGCCTGGTGAGGCCCTTGGGTCACATCTACCTCCACGCTCACCTCAGGTAACCTGGCAACTGGGCCCTCACCATTCATAGCTGGAGATGCCAGCTGTTCCCAGATCTTCTCCAGGCAGGAGAAAAGAGGAAGGAAAACTTTGAATTGAGAAGCCAAGTCTTTTACTGCCTCTCTGTGCATGGGGGGAAAGGGAGTCCCTGACCTGCCAGCAAGTTGAAGATAGTAGACACACTTCACTCATCATAGACCTCAAAGTGTCCAAGACTTGTCATGAACTGACTGATCTTACCATCTCCTCTGTGTTTTGATTTCTCTTTGCCCCAGGGCGAGGGTGCCACTTGGTCCTTCCTCCTCCTACCACTTACTCTGCCCCTGATGCCATGGGCATCTTGGTAGGAGGAGGGCTGGGCAGCTCTGCCAGGTACCAGGCCTAAGGGCCATGCCACACAGCTCAAGGGGTCAGCTTTCCCCAGAATGTCTTATGTGGTGCAAAGTGCCCTTGTGCATGACCCGGCTGTGACTCAGAAGGAAGAAGGAAGCCCGAGCTGCTAGGGGGAAGCAGTCTGGGAGGCAGGGCAGAGTCCCAGTAGTGGCAGTTGTTGCCACCCCTGCCCCTCCCACCCTAGCATGATGGCCCACTGGCTTCTTGCCCCTTCTTTCCCTTCCTCTCCTAAGCAGTGGGCAGGGTAGGGAAAACACGGGCATCGGAGCAGTGTGCTCAAGGCAAGTCACTGGACCTTTCATTGTAAAATGTGGAAAATGATGACTGACTGTGCAGAGTGGCACACAGCAGAAGACCTGGCACACAGTAGGGTTCGGAACCTGGAACATATTCTTTCTTTCTTTTTTTTTTTTTTAATATATCTTTATTGATTTCAGAGAGAGGAAAGGAGAGGCAGAGAGAGAGAGAGACAGACAGAAACATCAATGATGAGAGAGTCATTGATCAAGCCCACAACCGGGCATGTGCCCTGACCGGGAATCGAACCCTGATTGCCTGGATCCCAGGTTGACGCTCAACCGCTGAGCCACACCCGGCCGGGCTGGAACATATTCTTTCTCCCCTCTTTTCCTCACACTTTGACCTGTCAAAGCCACTTCCCCTCCCTCCCCCTACCTGCCAACTTTGCATAAATTACAGGTGGCTCCAAGGACTTATCAGGTATTGACAGCTTATCTGTTCCTAATTCTGGGAGACAGCAGTAGCCAACTGTCACCCTGAAAAATCACCTCACCTTTGTGACTAACTGAACCACTGGCTGTCACTTTCTATAAATGATTGCAAGACCACAGTTTTCTTCAATAAAATAAGATAAGGATTTCCCCCACTTAACTAAGACATGCTTCCCTGTTCCTCCTATCAATCCTTTCTCAAGGGCACAACTTTTATGATCACAGGTATGACCGGGAGAGCAATACCATCCTAAATGTGTGTCACTTTCTTTCAAGGACTGTGCATATTTGTTTCCGTGTTTAAACCTCACAACGACCCAAGCAGAATGTTAGGCAAGTGCCTCCATCTCCACAAGAGACAGAAGAAAACAAAGATACAAAAAGGTGACTTGCCCGGCTGGGCGTGGCTCAGCGGTTGAGCACCGACCTAGGATCCGGGCGATCGGGGTTGGATTCCCGGTCAGGGCACATGCCCGGGTTGGGGGCTCGATCCCCAGTCAGGGGCGTGCAGGAGGCGGCGGATCAATGGCTCTCTCATCATTGATGTTATCTCTCTCTCTCCCTCTCCTTTCCTCTCTCTGAAATCAATAAAGATATATTTTAAAAAAAAAAGTGGCTTAATTTTGCTGGGGAGACAGAAAGCAAGTCAGTGGAGAAGTTTGGCCCTGCGCCGAGCCCGGGAGCTGCGCCCCCCCGCCCCCCTCCCGGTTTGGCTGCCCGCTGCCCGCTGCCCGCACTCACGTAGATGCCCGCCTGGATNGAACATATTCTTTCTCCCCTCTTTTCCTCACACTTTGACCTGTCAAAGCCACTTCCCCTCCCTCCCCCTACCTGCCAACTTTGCATAAATTACAGGTGGCTCCAAGGACTTATCAGGTATTGACAGCTTATCTGTTCCTAATTCTGGGAGACAGCAGTAGCCAACTGTCACCCTGAAAAATCACCTCACCTTTGTGACTAACTGAACCACTGGCTGTCACTTTCTATAAATGATTGCAAGACCACAGTTTTCTTCAATAAAATAAGATAAGGATTTCCCCCACTTAACTAAGACATGCTTCCCTGTTCCTCCTATCAATCCTTTCTCAAGGGCACAACTTTTATGATCACAGGTATGACCGGGAGAGCAATACCATCCTAAATGTGTGTCACTTTCTTTCAAGGACTGTGCATATTTGTTTCCGTGTTTAAACCTCACAACGACCCAAGCAGAATGTTAGGCAAGTGCCTCCATCTCCACAAGAGACAGAAGAAAACAAAGATACAAAAAGGTGACTTGCCCGGCTGGGCGTGGCTCAGCGGTTGAGCACCGACCTAGGATCCGGGCGATCGGGGTTGGATTCCCGGTCAGGGCACATGCCCGGGTTGGGGGCTCGATCCCCAGTCAGGGGCGTGCAGGAGGCGGCGGATCAATGGCTCTCTCATCATTGATGTTATCTCTCTCTCTCCCTCTCCTTTCCTCTCTCTGAAATCAATAAAGATATATTTTAAAAAAAAAAGTGGCTTAATTTTGCTGGGGAGACAGAAAGCAAGTCAGTGGAGAAGTTTGGCCCTGCGCCGAGCCCGGGAGCTGCGCCCCCCCGCCCCCCTCCCGGTTTGGCTGCCCGCTGCCCGCTGCCCGCACTCACGTAGATGCCCGCCTGGATGGCGGCCTCCGCCCCCGTGCACTCCACCGTGACCTCGGGCTTGCGCCCCAGGAGACCTTCCACTTTACTGGCGATTTCCTGAGGGCTCTCCTTGGACACCTGGAGGGTAAAGTCAGCCCCGACTTCCTTGGCTTTAGCCAATCGAGACGCAGACAGATCTGAAATGGAAACAAACTTTTCTTCAAACTGAGAAAGGGGGTGGCGGAGTAGGGAGAAAATAGCAAGGGAGGCGCACCCCCGGCGGGTGTGGCCCAGTTGGTTGGGCGCTGTCCCCGCAGCGGGCTGGATCCCCAGTAGGGGGCGTGCAGGAGGCAGCCCATCTATGTTTCTCTCCCTCTCCCTTCCTCTCTCTCTAAAAATCAATAAAAACTTTTTTTTTTTTAATGGAGGTACAGGTTCTGATGGCAATAAATCTCTGGTGTAGTGGGTGGTGTCACTGAACCCAACACACAAAGTCTCTCTACCTTCACACACTCCCGTACATACCACACATCTGCACATACACACACACTCTTCAAACACATGCACGCGTTCACAGATACCTTCCATACACACTCTGACAGCTTCTCCTCACACAAAACACCCTTCTGCACCCCCACTACCCTATTAATCCACACTCACCCGCATACCACACAACTCTACACACCCCCACACTCACAGATAACCTCCTTACACATGTGCACACTCCGATACCTCACACACACATTCTCTCTCACAGATGTCTTCTCCACATACACACACCCTCTGATACCCCACAAGCTTCCATACATATCACGCTGCTTCCACAAACACACCCACACATGCTGTTGGATAACCTCACCTNCTGATACCCCACAAGTTTCCATACATATCACGCTGCTTCCACAAACACACCCACACATGCTGTTGGATAACCTCACCTTACACATATACACTCACATCTCTCACTCAAAGCACACACCTCACACACAAACATCTTTTTTTTTTTTTTTAAATATATCTTTATTGATTTCAGAGAGAGGGAGGGAGAGGGAGGAGAGAGAGAGATAGAAACATCAATGATGAATCATTGATCGGCTGCCTCCTGCACGCCCCCTGGTGGGGATGGAACCCACAACCTGGGCATGTGCCCTGACCAGGAATCCAACCTCCATCTCCTGGATCCTAGGTCAATGCTCAACTGCTGAGCCACACCAGCTGCGCACAAACATCCTCTTAAAATTACATTATAGCCCTAGCTGTTTTGGCTCAGTGGTTAAAGCATCGGCCTACGGACTGAAGGGTCCTGGGTTTGATTCTGACCAAAAGCACATACCTCGGTTGCAGGCTCGATCCCCGGCCCTGGTCGGTGTGTGAGATGGAGGCAATCAGTCAATGTCTCTCTCTCACATTGATGTTTCTCCCCCCGTTCCGTCCCTCCACCTTCTACTCTCTCTGAAAAGCAATGGAAAAAAATATCCTCGGGTGAGGATTTAAAAAAAAATTAAATACATTATACTTTCTACTAACACCACATCACACACATACACACAAACACTCCCTGTCTCCTGGGCTTAGACAAATGAAGCAAGGGCTGAGCCTTGTTTTAGGACTATGTAGGTAGTATGGGCATCTTATGTCCATACATAAAGAGCCAGGGCCTCTTCTCCCAGCAGCTTCAAAGAAGTCTCCTCCTCAGCCCTGACTTGGTCATCCCCTGGATGGGCTTCTCAACCCTAGAACCCAGAGAAAAGAGGAAGAACCCCTTCAGAAACCCAGTACCCCATGAAGGGAATAGGTCTTATGCCTCTGCCTCAAACTATAGGCCCAGCTGTTTCCCCACTCAAGGATATTTAAAAAGAAAACCTTACCAGTCACCACCACTTGAGCTGCACCCATTGCCTTGGCCACGAGCAAATTGACCAGTCCAATTGGCCCTAAATAAAGCAGGAAATGAGAGACGAATGTGAAATATGAAACATCAGTTCTTCCCCCCGTGCAGACCATAAACAAGAACCATATATTTTGTGTATGCTAGAATCTACCCCAGGGCCTGACACAGTGAGACCTTAACAACTGTTTGTTGAATGAATGCATGAGGAATTGTTTTCTACATGAAATTTGCTAGCAGTGCCAGGTTCTGTTTGATTCTCCCCTAAAACAGAGCTATAAATTTTTCACTTTTGAGCACTACTTGGGGATAAGGTTAAAGAACCAGAAGGCTCAGGGAAACATATAATTTTTTCAGAGAAGTTATTTTAGAAGGTCTGGATGCATTTTCCTGTCTGTGCCTTGACCCCTACCTTCTTAGAACCCATTACACCTCCCCAAGGAGAGACATCTTGTTTTTAGGTGCCCTCTGAGGACTACCCTGGAGTGTCCTTAAGTGAGCTGGCTCCCTGGGTTGAGGCAGCTGTCAGGCAGCCCCAGGATGTTCCGGTGACTAAGAATCAGCCTAGAGACCACTTGCTTCCCCACAGTTATCTACCTGCTGGGTGACGTGATTGTTTTAATACAAAAACCAGACCCACAAAATAAGGCTATGCAGAAAATCTTTGGGGATTTTCTTTTTGGACACTCCCCTTGAAAATAATTTTGTGAGTTCCCCCAGAAAGCAAAACGCTGGAAAATACCTGAAATAATCAACAAAGGGATTAGTTAAATAAACTACTGTGGGATATCACATAGTTATTAAAAATTATGTCATAACTTTTATATCTATTGACATGAAAAAACACTCATAATATATTGATTTATTTTATTTTATTTTATTTTATTTTATTTTAATATTTATCTTTATTGGTTTCAGAGAGAGGAAAGGAGAGGGAGAGAGAGATAAGAAACATCAATGATGAGAGAGTCATTGATCGGCTGCCTCCTGCACACCCCTGACTGGGAATCGAACCCTGATCGCTTGGATCCTAGGTCGACGCTCAACCGCTGAGCCACGCCCAGCTGGGCTTGATTTTTTTTTAAAAAAAGTAAAAAAATGAGGCATATTCAACATGATCTCATTTTTAAAAAGAAAAGGAATGCTCTGCATCAAAATGTTAACATTGATTCTCTCAGGCTGATGGAGCTGTGGGTAAATGTTTGTGTGTCTACATGTGGTGTGTATAACTAATCTATTCTTTTTAAATCCTCACTTACGGACATGCTTAGAGAGGAAGGGAGGGAGGGAGAGAGAGAGAGATCAAGATAAATTGGCTGCCTTCCGTACCTGCCCCAACAGGGATCGAACCCACATTACTCAGGTAATGTGCCCTGACCGGGAATTGAAACAGCAACCTTTTGGTGCACAGGATGCCGCTCAACCAACTGAGCCAGTCGGGACGGGCTGTCTTATCTTTTTTTTCTATGGCAAAAGGTATTTAAAAAAAAATCTGCCACCTGAATCAGACAGCCTGCTTGCTTACTGAGGCAAGTCTGTTCTACACCCATCAACCCACTGAGGAAGCCCTATGGTGGCTTATTTGGCTCTGCCAAAGAAAAATCAGTCACAAACATACATAAGGATTAACTCGAAATGGATTAATGTCTCAAACACAGACCTGAAACTATAAAACTCCTAGAGGAAGACAGGCAGGCCTTGGCTGGGGGCTCAGGGTAGGTGGGGGAGCAACCAATCGATGTGCCTCTCTCACATCGATGTTTATCTCTTTCTCTCTCCCTCCCTCCCTTCCAGTCTCTCTAAAAACCAATAGAAAAAATATCTTCAGGTGAGGATTCACAACAACAAAAAAGAAAGAAAAGAAAACACAGGCAGTAAGCTCCTCGACGTCAGTCTTGGAGAAGAATTTTTTTGGATATGACGCCAAAAGCAAAGGCAATACAAGCAAAAATAGGTGGGACTATATCGAACTAAAAAGCTTCTGCACAGCAAAGGAAACCATCAATAAAATGAAAAGGGCAACCTACCAAATAGGAGAATATATTTGCAAATCATATATTTGTTAAGGGGTTAATATCCAAAACATATAAAGAACTCATACGACTCAATAGCATAAATAAATAAATAAATAAATAAATAAATAAATAAATAAATAGGCAATTTGATTTAAAAAAATGGACAGGGGATCTGAACAGGCTTTTTCCCAAAGAAGACATACAGCCCTAGCTGGTCTGGCTCAGTGGTTAGAGCGTCAGCTCGTGGACTGAAGGGTCCTCCTGGGTTGTATTCTGGCCAAGGGCACCTGCCTCGGTTGCAGGCTCGGTCCCTGGTCCTGGTCGAGGCCCATGGGGGAGGCAGTCAGTCAATGTGTCTCGCTCACATCGATGTTTCTCTCTCTCTCTCTCTCGCTCCCTCTCCCTCTCCCTTCCACTTTTCCTGAAAAGCAATAAAAAAAAAAAAATCCCTGCGTGAGGATTAAAAAAATAATAAAACTATGAATTTTTCAAATTGTAGACAAAAAGAAAAAGAAGACATACAAACGGCCAGCAGGTATGTGGAAGAGGTGTTTAACATCACTAATCATCAGGGACATGAAAAGCAAAACCACAGTGAGGTACCACCTCAGACCTGTTAGAACGGCTGTTATCAAAGACAAGAAGTAACAAGTGTTGAAAAGATGCAGAGAAAAGGGAGCCCTCAGACACGGTTGGTGGGAATGTAAATTGGTGCAGCAGCTATGGAAAACAGTATGGAGGTTCCTCAACAAACTAAAAACACAGCTATTAAATGATCCAGCAATTCTACGTCTGAGTATCTAAAGAAAATGAAGACACTAATTCAAAAAGATATGCGTGCCACCATGTTCATTGTGGCATTATTTACAACAACCAAGACATCAAAACAACGTAAGGGTCCATTAATGGATGAAGGGATAAAGAAGATGGAATATATATACAATGGAATATTACTCAGCCATAAAAAAAGAAGGAAATCTTGCTATTTGTGACAACATGGATGGCCTTTGAGGGTATTATGCTAAGTAAAATATGTCAGACAAAGACAAATACCATATGATTTCACTTTTATGTGGAATCTAAAACAAACCAAAAAAAACACCCAGCTCATAGATGCAGAGAACAGATTAGATGCCAGAGGAAGTGAGACAGTCCAGTAAGTCAGGGCAAGTGGAATAGGGAAACTGAGATGGATAACTGAACAAATTGACAGAGCAACTTATAGAAGAGACAGGTCACCTCCCTAGAAATAACATCTAGGCCTCAGTTGTATTTCAGCTCTAGACCCAGAAAAGCAGCAAAACCAGGTGGGCAACTAGCTGTGATGACTGACAAACCCCTGCCCTGACGCTGATCAATCAGTGAAGACCAAGACCCTGAAGGAGCACACCTAGAAAACTGATGAATATTCTGTTGAACCCTCCCCTGAGACCTCCCCTAAAACTCCTGCCTGCAAGAGAGAAATAAAAGCCTAAGACAAAGGATCCATCATGTGCTCTCCCTCTGGGGAGCAGCCCCTGCCATTCCCTTTCCCCTCTTCTTCCCCCACTTCTTTTTTTATTTTAATCCTTACCCGAGGATATTTCTTTCCATTGCTTTTCAGAGAGTGGAAGGAAGAGAGTAAGAGAGCGAAACATGGATTGGTTGCCTCCTGCACTCACCCAGACCAGGGCCTGGGATTGAGCCTGCAACCGAGGTACTTGCCCTTGACCAGAATCGAATTCAGGACCCTTCAGTCCACGGGCTGGCGCTCTAACCACTGAGCCAAACCAGCTAGGGCTTCTTTCCCCACTTTTCCCCCCGGGGGCATGCATCTCCTAAACCCTAAGGGACCACATAAGACGTGCAACCTGGGGATCAATGGGCAGCAGCAGCTCATCACAGGCTAGCCCCCTGAACCTGTTCCCAAGGCCCCTTTTTCTCTGACTTACCAGAGAGCTAAGGCAGCCCAGCCTAGACTATCCTGTTGCTTCTTCTACACTAAGCCCTTTTTGGTTTTACACCCTTAGCTTTAATAAATATCTCCTTAGTCACCTGGACTCACGTTATGAAATTTTTCCTGCAAAGTCAAGAACCCACACACTACTGACCAGCTGGCCCTAGAGCCCTCTCAGGAAGCAGAGCAGGTAGGGAATGAGTGAAACGGGTAAAGGGGGTCAAAAGGTACAAACTTCCAGTTGTAAAATAAGTAAGTCATGGGATACAATGTACAGCATGGTGACTATAGTTAATAATATTGTACTGTAAATTTGAAAGTTGCTTAGAGAGTACATTTAAAAGTTCTCATCCCAAGAAAAGGAAATTTTGTAACTATGTATAGTGATAGATGTTAACTAGGATTATTGTGGCAGTCATTTTGCAAGACAGTTGACCCTTGAACAACACAGGTTTGAACAGCGAAGGTCCACTTATATGCAGATTTTTCCCCCCAATAAACATCTACAGTACTATAAATGTATTTTCTCTTCCTTATAATTTTCTTAATAACATTTTTCTCTAGCTTCCTTTATTGTAAGAATACATGATATAATACATATAACATACAAAATATGTGTCAACCAACTGTTTATGTTATTGGTGAGGCTTCCAGTCAACAGTAGGCTACTAGTAAAGTTTTTGGGAGTCAAGTTATACTCGGATTTTCGACTGTGCCATAGGCGCGAGCCCCTAACCCAGGCAGTGTTCCCAATATTTGTACATTGTATACAAACATCAAATAAATACGTTGTTCACCTGAAACTAATGTTATATGTCAATTATACCCCAACGCACCCCCCCAAAAGTGTACGAGGAACACCACCAAGGAGTGTGAGCACGCTGCCCGGGTCGCCAGCAGTTAGAAGTCTAGAATGATTCCGTCTGAGACCGCTGGGGCTTGCTCGGTGGAGGAGAGAAGGCAGCTTCCAGGGCAGGCCGGGTGCTGGCTCATGGGGGGCTGGGCTCTACTCCTTTCCCTGGCGGTGAGCAGGGCCACCTCGTTCCTAGATGGACCAGGCCACTTCTCTGGTATGATTTGGAAGTTCCAAAAGTTGTCCTTCCCTATACTACCAAAAATATTTCCCTAGATTCCTGCCAAGGGATCCCAGGCTGCATTCTTTAAATGTATAAAAGAGTCATGTTGCCTAAGAAATAACATCATTTCTGCAGATAGTAGTTTATTTAGCCAAGTGCTGGCCACTGAGGAAATGGGACACTGTAATCCTCTTCTACCCAGAAAGATCCCAGGACCAATTCCAGCCTTTGGAGGGGGAACGAGAAGGGCAGAGGCGTCCCCACATTCCCCTTTAATGAATTCATGACCAGGGTATCGCCTGTTCCTTACCAGCTCCACTCACAAACACCTTGTTCCCCAAGGTGACTCCAGCGCGCCGGCAGGCGTGGATCCCCACAGACAGTGGCTCAATCAGGGCCCCTTCCTCAAAGGTGACATTGTCAGGAAGCCTGGGGAGTCATTCAACACACTCAGTTAGTCCCTCTGGGTTGACAATGATAACAATAGCTCCTATTTACGGATCATTTATTTATGTGCCCAGCAATGTGCTAAGCAATTTACATAAATTCACTCATGTAGATCCTCAGAGCAGTTTTGTGGTAGGTAGTATTGTTCCTATTTTACAGATGAGGAAACTGAGGCTTGGAGGATTAAACAACTTGCTGTAAAGGTTCAAAACTAGTGAGGGGCTCAAAGGATTTGAATTTGAAACCAGATACATAAGCCACGTTCTGGCATCTCATCTTTTTCTCAAACTGATAACCTTTCTGGTTTCACTACAGCGAGCAATCCCCACGATCGGCAGCTTTGCAGTGATTTAGGAGCTGGCGCCACCCTGTTCATCGTTTCCCCCCATGACACGTTCCAGAAGACCCACACCTGATGGCAGCAGCTGCCCGGCTGCCCCAGGACTGGTTGAGGTGGGAAAAGGGCCTGTCTTGCACACAGCTGATTAAATGCTGTGTCACCTTCCTTCACCACTGGGTTCTTGGTTTTCACTTCCAAGTCCACTGGTATCTTGATCCTTTTAACAATCTTCCCGAAGATGACAGCAAACATTTGCCTAAGGCTTTACAGATTAGAGTGCTTTCTCATCCATTATCTCATTTAATCCTCCCGTGACCTTGTCAGGTGAGAAGGACAGGCTTTATTTTTACCTTTATTTTACAGAAAAGAAAACTGAAGCTCAATGACATTACGAGACTTGGCCAAGGTTAAAATGCTAGTGAGTGAAAAAGCAAAGTTTGAACCCAGGTCTTCTGATTCCATTTCCTTGGCCTGTCCCATGTCAGCTGCCTCTTGGTACAAGCAGCTCCGTAGTTAATATTTAATTTTTGCTAGTTTTTTTTAATGTTTTTATTGATTTTGGAGAGAGGAAGGGAGGAAGAGAGAGATAGAAACAATGATGAGTCATTGATCAGCTGCCTCCTGCACGTCCCCTACTGGGGATCAAGCCCACAACCCAGGCATGTTCCCTGACCGAGAATCAAACAGCCATCTCCTGATTCATAAGTTGATGCTCAACCACTGAGCCATGCCAGCCAGGCTCTGCTAGTTTTTAACTGTCCAGTATTTATTTATTCACTGCCCCAAAAAACTCCACATGAAAACCCTCTCAAGTTGCAGCTCTGGCTCAGTTGGTTGGGTGCCATCCTGTGCACGGAAAGGTTGCAGGTTTGATTCCCTGTCAGGGCACATGCCCAGGTTGCTGGCTCGATCCCCAGTAGGGGGTATAAAGGAGGCAGCTTCTCTCCCTCCCTCTCCTTTCCTCTCTCTCTGAAAATCAGTAAAAAAGTCTTACAAAAAAAAAGAAAACCCTCAAGTTACAAAAGAAAGAAAGGTGGCAGCCAAACCATGTGCTGATCCCCATGATCCTTCCGTCCCTGTTCACGATCCCCGAATACATAACAAGGCCTGCAAGTGGCCTGACTGCCACCCACCACACATTCCTTCTCCCCTCCCTTCTGCTTCTCTCACATCATTTCCCCCACTCCAATCCACCCTCCTGCTCTGATTGCTGTCATCACCCCTTCTAACCCACTCCATCAACTCCATATGAAAAAATAAGTTTGAAATGGAATAATGAAGACTCCAAAACTCTCATGGACCCAACCACCACACCCTCTCAGACACATCTGCTCCTTCCCATCTGCGCCTCCCCTAAAGCTTGTATTGGCTCTAAGCTAAAAGTGGCCTTTGGTCAGGAACCCTGTGCTCCTCTCCCCTTCACGCTGACTTCCCCTTGGAATGAGAACACGAAGGAGAAAAGGGGTTGGGGATGGTGCTAAGAGAGGACTGTCATCTGGGAGACACCACACGCCTTTTCACACAGGCAGCCACAGCCAGCAGCAGGGGGGCAGAAGCACCAGGCGGAGTCCTGGGGCCCAGCCCCTTTGCCACTGACCTTGGGAGAGTTACTGGGTCATCCTTCCCCAAACTTGTTCACTGGGGGTTGAGTGAGGAGGGGGATGAGACGCTCTACGTGTCTTCCCAGCCCTAATCTTTCATGACTTTATAAACACCAGAGAATGACAAGGCAACTTGGTGGTTTTCACAAGGTTCAGGGAACAGGCCAAAGGGTCAGAGGATTACCCAGAAGCCAAGGAGGAAGCAGGAAGATAAACTGAAAATAAGGTGGGTAGGAAAAAAATCCTCACAAAGAGAAACCAGAGAGAAGGAGTTGGGCCCAGAGCTAGGCTTGGAACACAGACAGAAAGTACCCTGGGAGGAGAGGTGGGGGTTACATGTCCCCTAGAGCCCTTCCCAGTCCTCCCATCACCACTGCCAGGCAGAACTCCCCTCCCACAGCAAACCACCCCTTTCCTTCCCCAGCCCAAGGCTCCCTTTCAGGACTAACCCTATACCATCCCCCAGACTCAAGTTCATGGCTACAACATATGATGGCATCATTTATTGAGCACCTCCTATGTGCCAGGACTCATGCTGAGCACTTAATATTCCTTTCTCGTTGAATGCTATCAATAATTCTATGCATTTTACCATATTGGTTCTATTATCATCTCTATTTTACAGGCAAGGATACTGAGGTTACAAAGTTCAAGTAACTTGCTCAAGGCCATGCCACTGGTAAATGGCAGAGACCAGCGGTTAGTCGCCAGCTTTACCACTTTGCTCCTCTGCCTTCCACAAAAACCTTATTTGGTACCTTGAGTTGGAAAGGGCCCAGGAAAGGCGGGCTGGTTCAGGAATCACTTGCTGAAAGGTGGACTCTACCCACACAACCTGCTTTCTTCTAGAGCAGGTTTTGGATGTTGACTTAATTGAACTCGTCATGAGGTCTCCAGCCTGTGACTCCTCTCAAGGCTGCCACTGGCCACTTGAAAACTCAGATCTGTCCGACTGCCCCTGTGATTGGCACCTGGCCTCCATCAGACAAGCCCCATCCTGGCTGACGGAGCCAGAACTAGGGCCAGGCTGGGAGAAACCAGAAGCTAAGTGGCACATCAGCCCCCCAGAGCTCCATGGGCTGGGGGCCACGTAGGAGGTACAGCACTTTGCTTCTGCCAGACACAACTTCTTACCCAAAAAAACATTTTGAATGTTGGGGTCATGCAGTGAGCACAGGGCAGGAGTTCAAGAATCACAGCCTGACTCCTGGCCTTGCTCTGTGCTGGAGTCTATTAGCTTCCTTCTGCCTCTGCTAACCCTTGCACTAAACTGCACTACTGGCGCCTGCCTCATCACTATTCTTAATGGAGGTAAGATAAGGCATGCAAAGCATTTGCTATCACAAGGCCTGACACATAGTAATAATAATTGTGCCTTTACATGCATTGTCTTATTTAACTGTCTGGTGATTAAGTCATTTTCCCAAAGTTACTCCCTAGGAGGGAGTGGGTCCAGGGTCCACAGTCATGTGCTGGCTCCTTGCCAAGCCTCCTCAGTAAGCCCCTGCAAGTCACTGCTGTTAAAATTCTCTTTCCTGTAGCTACACTAGAAACCAGTGATGGAAGATGAACCACATGTTGTCACCAGGATGGCTGGAAAGGAGTGAATGGCTTTAGCAACAATTTTCTATTGCTGCTCTCATGAGTTAGACTGAGAGACTAAAACCAAGCACTGTGACTCAGTCTTAGCTCTAGTCAGGCTGGCCTCCCTCCAATCACCACCGTGCAGGTGCCTCATGTCTGGAATTAAGAGCTAAAAAGAACAAAGAAGTCACTACAGGAAAGTAGAAGAAAGAACACGGAAGAAATGGAGGGGGAGAGGTCCCAGGTGGAAGGCTGGGCTGGGCACTAACTTGTAACAGAAGTTGGCATTGTGCTTATAGAACCGGCAGAGGTTCCCATCATCGGGGGGCGTGGCACAGAAGAAGATGGATGGTGACAGGTTGTATCGGCCAATCTTGCAGAATTCATCGGTTTCCCGAGGAGCACCAGGCTCGATGGCAACACGATCACCTGAAAACAGGAGTAGCCTCAGAGATGCTGTAAAGGGACACAGGCTCATGGGCAGATACCAGCAAGGAAATCTGGCTAAATGAGCCAGCCTTCTCCCTGGGGACCCAGGGTATTCTAACCAAACCCAGCCCGTTAGTGCCTCTAAAGGAAACACAGAATGCAGCAGTCTCACACTCTGGGATAGAATGACCAGCCCACTTCTCCACACTGACCTGGCCTGCCGTTTACCAACTCATGGACCAAACCAACCTGCCCTCCAGCTCTACAGCCACCTCCCAGCTTGGGCAACTCAGAACTAGTCCCATTTCTAAGGCAAGCCAGCTCCAGTTTACACCTCAAACTGCTGCAAAAGAGGTAGCTAGTGTATGGTGTTTGCAGACATTTTTTTCTTTCCCTCTTTTGAAAACATGGGGCAAGGCCTTTACAAAAGCCATACAGACTGGCTGTGTTTAGACAGTAACTAGAAATCAACTGATTCCTGGTTAGCAGAACCGTTAAGGCAAATGACCCACAGAGGCCTCTGACTCTGGCAGAGCAGAGATTAACATTCAGGCTTGTGAACTGCTGGCTCTGTCCTACTTCTACCCTACGTCTCACCAAGTTGGCTTCAAACGCAGCGTTAGAATTGCTCTTCTCTCTTCTTAATAGGAAAATTTTCAAACATCCAGCAAAGTTGAAAAAACTGTGCAGTGAACACCCAGATATCTTCCACCTAGATTCTTCAATTAACATTTAGCAACATTCACTTTATCACATATCCATCCATCCCACCTACGCATCTCTCCTGTATCCATCAACCCTTCTTCTCTAATGCATTTCAAAGTAGGTTGCAGACATTAGTACACTGCACCCTTAAATATTTCAGCCTGCATAGCATTAACTATTCAATACTTGTTTATGATGATTTTTTAAGGTAAAATTTTGATATTGATGAAATGCACAAATGTTAAGTGGACCACTAGATGAATTTTGATAAGATGCATTCACCTGTGTGATGTAAATCCCTGTCAAGATACAGAACACTGCCACTATCTTAGAACTTTCATTCATGTTTCTTCCCAGTCAGTCGCCACCTCCGACTCAAGAGGGGTGTACTAGTGGTATTAGGGCCCTCCTGAGCCTGAAGAATTGTTGTTAGCAGCCAGAGAACAACCCTGAAAGATCTGCCTTTTACTAAGCAGAGACACATTAGGTTATTTTTTTTATGTCTTTTGTGTTAAAAGTAACCCACAGAATAGTGTAGTCCCGTTATGTAGTTAGTGCTCATTAAAATAGTGGTGGCGATGGTGATAGTAGTAGTGGTAATATATAGTAGCACCAACTATTTTTATTATATTTATCATTATTATAATTATTTGAGCTAGTATTATTATAGAAGAAATTCAAACTATAAGATAGATGGCCACAATTAATTAAATTAATTAATATATTTATTTTCATTAATTTTAAGATTCAGCCATGTCTTTGCACAGCATGACAGCTCATTAGTTCTATTACTGAGTGGTATTACATTTCTGTGGTTTGTGAAGCCAGTCACATCCCATTTTTGGCAATTATGAATAAAGCTACTATAAAATTTAAAAGAAAAAAAGATAGATGGCCAGATTGTACATAAATTAGGAATTTTTCCATGCCTTAGATTTACTGATTCTTTAATATTCATGTTTAAATTTTATAAACAAGTATATTAAGAACTACTCAGTGAGTGGTTTTCTTCTTTCTAGATTAGTTGATTAGAGCTTTAAGTAAAAGTTAGCAAATGAAACACTTAAATGAAAATGTTGTATTCTAAAAAAAATTACCCACAGCCCTGGCCAGTGTGGCTCACTTAGTTGTCAACCCAGGCACCAGAAGTTGTCCAGTTCAATTCCTGGCACATGCCTGGGTTTCAAGCTCGATCCCCAGCAGGGGGCATGCAGGAGGCAAACAATCAGTGTTTCTCTCCCCTCTCTCTCTCCCTTCCTCTTTCTCTAAAATCACATTTCTTTTTTACAGTGCTGTTTCTCTCCCTCTCTCTCCCTTTCCTTTCCTCTCTAAAATCAATAAAAACATATTTTTAAAAAAGCACCCACAGAAATCCCTGTGGCCACTAAAATGCATTCCTCTACCTATGTACGCCTCCTCCTTCTATCCTCTGTGCTTTCTCTGCCGCCCGAGGAACTTTCTACAAACTACACTTCTAGCCTTGACAATGAATTCTTCAACTTAGCACTTAAGATCCTCCATAATTAGGTGGAGTTTATATTATTCAGTTTTGTCTTCTAATTATTATTACATCATCATAGTAATATTATAACTCACAGTTGTATGGTGCTTTTTAAAGAGGGACTTTTGTTCAGATTATGCAAATTTATCATCTCCACTAACTGCCCAAGACAGAACCTCTGCTCTGAGCAGCACAGACTTATTAACAACACAGCTATGAAACTCCCACCTCCGTAATTTTATTAGGCTGTTCCTCTTAACTGGAATATTTGCTTCTGACCTCTTCAGTAACTCAAATACAAAACCTTTCTCAAGTCTCCACATGCTGGGCAGCCCAAGGGCTCCGAGCACTTGCTTAGGGTGAGGAAGGCCAAGGCAGGCAGCCTCGCTCTAAGGCTAACTAGTGTGCGACCCTGGGCACCGCCATCCTTCACCTTCTCCCTCTGTTAATCAGGAACACGACGCCTCATTATTTGGTTTCAAGTACAAAGTAAGTAATTTACGAGTTAAGTATTTAACATGGAGAATAACAATAGTAAGTCAATAAATGTTTTCTTCTTCTCATAATTATCATCTCATAATTACTACTGTTAAATGTCTAGCTCAAAGACCTATCTCCTCCATGGACCTTCTTTACACACCTGTGCCCCTGGCAAATGCCCAGGACACATATATCCTGATGTCTCGTCTCCCCAACTAGATCGAAGCATCCAAGGATCTTATCTTCTCCATATTTTATGTCCCTCAAAGCACCTGGCACAGGCTGGATCCATTGTCAATGCTAACTAAGCGCCCATTATAACTTAAATTTAGAGACCCCCCCCATTCCTTGTTATGACATATATTTGGAGACCTCGTCTAACAGCCACCAATCAGTTGCTGTTGGAAGCTTTGAACCTTCCACCTTGGAAGAACCCTGCAAAACCTCAGGGGCTTTCTTGACTTTACTGATGATGGAGGGTCTGACTTAACGGTCCGGAATGAGAGACACGACTAGCTTCTTCAGAGCTGGTCGATCCCTCCTCATGTACCTGGGCTCAGAGAGCTCTCCAACTAACACAGGATGGCACCGCCTACCCACCTCCTCCTTCCTCCAAATAATCTGATGTCATCTGCAGGCTGGACAGTGGCCTTATCAGCAAAAGAACTTTAAAGCCAATGGCCAGCTATGCCAGGACAGCTTGGATTTAATTCATTGTGTTGGGGAACATACCACAGTCTGCCACAGCTGAGAATTCCTCCCTCTGGGAGAATGAATTAAGCAAATCTAGAAACATATTGGTGGTTTCCTAGCCATGCAATAAAATCAAAGACTACACTGAAGACCCTGGTTCTTAGTATATGGAGGCATATTGTGATTCCTGGGCCTGGCACGTTTTCCCCACCCCTGTACCTGGCGTATTTCTTACTTGCCTGAAGGTGTCGGCTTAGCTGTCCCTTCCTCAGCAAGCCAGGGGTCTGAGTAGAACGCACCAAATGCACCCTGCTGCCCTCAACACGACTGTAATTAATAACTATCTGTGTCCCAGCTCTGTCTCCCACTGTGGAAGGCAGGATCCATTTGTCCTGGGACCGAGGCTGTCTTGCTGACTGACTGCTGCGCCCCAGTTTCTCAGAGAGACTGGCCCTGAGAAAGCACACACAAATGTTGGTATTGAACGAGCAAACTGATCCATTGGCCGAAGGGCTTTGCTGACCTGGTTGCAGGTGCTTTACCGATGATCCCACTTTTACGACTGTTCCTGAAGCTTCATGGCCCAGCACCATTGGTTTTTTCACAACAAACTCCCCAATTCGACCATGCTGCCAGTAGTGGACGTCTGAGCCGCAGATCCCAACGGAATGCATCTTCAGCAGCACCTCTGATAAGAAAACAGAGGAGACAAGGGAGGGTCACCCTCGGGCGCCGTGGTGACTCTCCTCTGGATGAAGGAGAGGGCTTGGTTTCAAAGGCCAGGTACAACATTTAGACACAAGCCAAACTGCAACCCCGACTGAGCCTTCCACAGGCAAGAAAACTTCCACAGAGCAAAATCACTGCACGTGAGTGTTAATTCTGTGTGCTAACTTGGCTGGGCTATGGCTCCCAGTTGTTTGGTCAATCACTAGATGTTGCTATGAAGGAATTTTTCAGATGTGAGTAATACTTAAGATATGGAAACAACCTAAGTGTCTCTCAATGGATAAATGGATGAAGGAAAGTAGTATATACGCACAACCATAAATATTACCCAGCCATAAAAAAGAAGGAAATCTTGCCATTTGTGACAATATGGATGGACCTTGAGGGCATTATGCTAAGTGAAGTAAGTCAGACAGAGAAAGCAGATACCATATGATCTCACTAATATTGTGGAATCTGAAAAAACAGCCACAACAAAAAGACAAAAACCAAGCTCACAGATGCAGAGAACAGACTGGAGGTTGCCAGAGGCGGGGGTGGGGGATGGGTGACATGGGTGAACAGGGTCAAAAGGCACAAACTCCCAGTTGTAAAATGAGTCACGAGAATCTAATGTACAGCATGGCGACTATAATTAATAATCCTGTGTTGTATATTTAAAAGTTACTACGAGAGTAAATCTTAAAAGTTTTCATCAGAGGAAAAATCTGTAACTATGTGAGGTGATGGATATTAACTAGACATTGTAGTGATCATTTCAGAAAATATACAAATACTGAATCATTGTGTTATACACCCGAAACTAATATAATGTTGTATGTCAATTATACCCCAATTTAAAAAAACCACACAAATATTTAAATCATTAGACTTTGAGTAAAGCAGGTTACCCTCCATAATGTGGATAAGCCTCATTCAATCAGTTGAAGTCCTTAAAAGACAAGACTGAGGTTTCCTGAAGCTCAAGACTGTGACATCGCCCAGCCAGTATGGCTCAGCAGTTGAGCGTCAACCTATATGATTCAGGAGATCACAGTTCGATTCCGGGTCAGGGCACACGCTCGGGTTCTGGGCTCCATCCCCAGTAGGGGGCCTGCAGGAGGGAGCCGATCAATGACTCTCATCATTGGTGTTTCTATCTCTCTCTCCCCCTCCCTTTCTCTCTCTGACATCAATAAAAACATATAAAAAAATTTTTTTTAAAGACTGTGACATCAACTTTTACCTGAATTTCCAGACTCCTGGTTAGCCCTACAAATTTCAGACTTGCCAGCCCCCACAATCACGTGAACCAATTCCTTAAAATAAATCTCCCCCCTGCCTTCTATATGCACATATAATAAGTATACATATAAATAAATCTATATAATAAAGCTCGCTGAGTTCAGTTCTTCTGGAGAACTCTGACTAATAAACTGCGTAAACAAGGTATTACTCATAGGAAGAAATGTGTCAACCATATAAGAGAGAAAACTATTTTCTAGGTGATGCCTGATTCATGAAAGGGAAGCCGGCAGAATCTAGGCTTGGCAACACTTCAGAAGCTATCAGGCTATGTTTCCATGCCTGTTGTTTTGTTTAAAAGTGCAGTGTGAATGTAAACCACCCAGATATTTCAAATGGCATTTCAACCTTCACAGGTTTGACTATAGTGAGATTTGGTGGTATTGTTGTTGTCAGTTTTCCAAGTTTAAAATAATGATGCTGCTGAGCCCCTTTGCTAAAATATATCCTAAAGGATTACTGGCTTAGTCTGACTGAGATGACCATGTTACAAGTATCTCCCTGAGAAAAACAAAGAGACCCAAAGCTGTACTATGCGCTCAGGTGTCTTACACTGTCCTTGCCACAAACCATGGGCGATCCACCAGGGGTGGCTCTGTAGAACTTTCTCCACCTTCAGTTTGGGTGAACAGAGTAAGAAATGGCAGGTGTATTCTGCGATCCAAGGTAAGGAAAAGTCATTGGAGTTAGGAAAGTCATCTAAGTTTCCTCTCTTGAAGTTACCAATTTGTAATAAGAGGTTACATTGACTTGCTAAAGCTCTCGCTGAAATGCACCAGTTTCCCCTTCCAATTCAAGGAGAGCAGAGTGCTGCCTCTGGGAGAAAAGCAGTACCAGGATCCTTTGAGTCCAAGATAGCCCATGTTTGGCCACCTCTAGAATCAACACCAACTTTTCAGGACACAATGAGCTGTCTCTTTCACTTCTCTAAAAATAACATCTTAGTGAAAACACTTAAGCCCTAAATATACATTACTTGCTAAATACTGATAGAAACAGCTCTTGTCTGTATTGATATCACTATAAATCAATAACCCAACTAACCTTTGAGTAGCAATGCTCTGGAGGCTCCAGGAAAGCTACCTTCAATCTGATGTTCACACAGAAGCTACAGTTGTGGGGAAAGGTGGGACAACACACCCCAACTCATCAAGGACAGAAAGGGGACCTGTGACTGGCTGGGTGTAAGATGGGCTATCTGTAGACACTCTGCCCCTTGCTCCCAGCCTCACTTCAGGGTCTGGCAGATCATGAAATGGGACTCCAGGGATGGGAGGAGGTCCCCCAGGAATACATAGGACCTATATTCTGAATTCTCACAGGTTCACACTCTCAACAGGGATCTGCCTTAGTCAACAGGGTGGCACGACTTTCCGAGATACAGACACCACCCAGGAAACATGCGTGTCAGCTCAGCCAGAGGCTCGCACAGTGAGAGGCCAGAAAAGGTGGAACAAAGGTGGTGGAAGCCTGCACCAGTGTGCACACCCACTTTCTGCACCAGGTTGATTAGGGCAGTGGGGCAGGGTTCCATGCAGCCCCTCCCATCCCCACCAGATAGAAGGTCCTGATCTTCCTGGCATGATATTCCCTTTTCTAACTATAACATTAAGTTCTGCAGAATCACTCCTTTTCAAATGTTGGATTCAGCCACTCAAATAGTGGCTTATAGTGGGGTAGAGTAACCTAAGGTCAAAAGAACAATTCTGCTTTTGGTCCATAAATTGAAGACATTTTATGCCAAAAACTCTTTGGGACAAGTTAGCAGTCTGATATGGTAACTATTCCCATTCTACCACTGTCCCTTTTATTGCATGTAGTAGCCAAGTGGAGTCTCTCCAGTCATGCTGTGGGCAATGAACTATGTGGAAAGCCTAATAAAAGCATAGTTTCAAGGGAGGCAAAAGTATAAATTGTAGCAGAAGGGGGGGGGGG